CCATTTTCTCACTAATTTTACCTCTGAAAACAGGTGACCCCCACCTCCTTCATTCTCAAATTTCTTGACTCGCATTTAAGATAAACAGATATTTTTTCATCCAAATAAAGAAAAATGAACATGCTTTAAAATTATACCAATAACTCTATGTGACCAAAAATTGACGAGAGTGGACCTGATTCCACCGCGCTGCCTCACATATTCTGAGTTGTTAACAAGTTATTCAAAAAAGTGCATTCCAAAAAGCTTGACGTGTTGTGAAACTCAAAACTGTTTGACGTCCGTCAAATTTCTCAAAACTAGGCACTGAGCAGATAGAACTTTGTAATATTCTAGATTAGCGAGTTGTCTCTGAGGACCCGTGTATAAAATCCATACGTGAGAGAGGGCGTAACACAACGAGCGTCCATGTACCTCACGCACGGCATTTCCCTCTCATTCTGTTGAGCGTTTCGTCGAGAATTTCTTTAAATTTCGAACTCATGTAGTAATACACAAATATATTCACCGCTGAATTTATCACAACCAGCAGGAAGGATATAGCCCATATGAACAGAAACATGTTCTTGTATTCCCCGTCAATGCTGTACTCTGTGACCGACATCATCGCAAAGATGTTGGCAGCACTGGGGGAGAAGCAAACTATGAAGATTACGGCAATAGACAGAACCATTTTCACAACTTTCATGTCTCTATTCGATAAAGATTCCTGCTTTGCAGCGCTGGAACTCGACTGGCGCCATTTTGATTTGATTAGAAGGTTTTGGACAAGGATTACCGTACACATGATGACTGAGAAGAATGAAACAAGCTGGGAGGCAGAGCTGATGAGAAGAGATATACCTTCAATCATAACGCCGTGGGAGGTATAAACTACTCCTATCATGGTCATGTTTATTTCTGAAATATATTTTGGCCCCAGCCTGATAGAATAGAACACGGGAGCAACACAAGCAGCCACGCTTATGTATATGCTGACAACTACGTAAATAGTACGTCTCGGTGTTATGATTGTCTTCACTTTGAGGGGCAGAGCGATACACAGACACCTCTCAAATGTGACAAAGGCTGTGATCCAGCTGGAGATCCGAGCGAAAATAGTGTGAGGCCACCCAGATGTTATATAGGCTAGGTCATGATAAACCACAGGCAGAACAGATTGGGCGAACAAAGGGTTGAAGCAGACACTCATCCACAGGAGCGGTACCAGAGCTCCCATATCGGAAACGGCCAGACTGAAAAGAGTTATGTTGACGGTGTCCTTGAATCCTTGCTTGAAAAACACATAAATGTTAATCGCGTTGAATATAGCTCCAAAGAAACAGACAGAGCCCATGGCACTGACATAGAAAATGATAATTAAAACATTGAGGACATCATCGTCTATCAAAGGTTCCTTGTCTTGTGCAAACAACAGAGTGTGGCTGTAATTTCCAGAAGCCATGTCTGATATCATAAGCTGCTGGTTCCTCAAAAGTGAAGTCGTCCCTATTTTATAGGAAGAAGTGAAAGAACGTGATAACATTTCATATGATATATTCATAATATATAAATTATAATAAGGCACAAGAACACTACCGTCGACAATAAAGATAATACAATAATAATGATAATAATAATGATA